GAGGGATCTTGCATAATCTCACAGAACAGTCTGCTGTATCACAATAGTAATACTACCAATCGCAAGGTCACGTGTGCCAGTTCTCCAGCTGGTTTGCATGCTACACTGCATTAGCAGACACAGTCACTGCCAGTCAACCAATTGCCCCAACAGCCAGTGCCAGCAGTGTTATGGGAACAAGGGCTGGCAAACCAAACAGCTCAATATATTCAACTTATCATATATAACAACAAGTCAAAAGCCCTGCAAGCGGGATGAAAGCATTAACCAGGGAGCTAATGAGCCATTGGACCAACAAATCAAGTCAACCGTCAACCCTCCCCACAGAGAGAAATGTCCAGGATTCATTTGGAAAATGCACTGAAGAGAGATTTCACACTCTAGCTGTGTGCCGACTGCCACGGGACCATGACGACTGCTATAGGAGTGGGGGGAAAAAAATGCACATGGACACCTAATGTATGAACTAATGTGCATATTTACACCTAACCATGACCTTGACCAGCTACTCAGGATATCCTCGTGTTTGCAGCCTCTGGAATAAGCAGCAAGACATTATCAAAACCCACCACCTGACTCCAGATGCTGCCAGGTCAAATGTCTCCCGGCACATCTGTACCATGCCACATTCTCTCTTGTCTTGCTTTGCAGTATTCCAGAGCTGTGACGATCCAGCGCACGCTCCGTTCTAAGCCACAGAGGAGCGGCATGTAGACATAACAGCACGGCATTACACACATTTGCTTTGCTACTATCTCATTCATAACAAATATGATGTGTGTGCACTGTACCTTAACGGTAGCCACTTCCACCTATCTTTTTCCTCCTTAGCGCTCCCACTCCGTTATATCACTGGCTGCCAGGAGTGGCAGTGACGACACGTCTGCAGTGTGTGTTTGTGTGTGGCTCTGTGCTCATGCGTGTGTGTCTCTGCAGAGGCCCTGAGCTGGAACAGGAGACAGACAGTGTGAGAGCATCTCCAAGCTCTCTAGGAGTGGTGCAACAGAACGGTGCGTTCCCTTTCTTACTCCTCTCTCCGTCACACACACACACACACACACACGCTCATAAAGAAATGCGCATGCTCCCCGAGACGCTCTCCTGCTCTCATTCAGTATGCACACACAGGCTTTCTCTCTCTCTATCCTACACTTGCACACTCACACATGGAGAGCAGTGAAGTGTAGAGCCACTCCCATCACTGATGTGTAAATCATTTGCTTTTTCATGCATTTCTTATGCTGCAATATAACTGGCTATTACAAATATTAGCTATTTTGTGTTTTTTTTGTGAGATTTATCTGTATTTATACTAATTATATTTAATTTTATATATTTAAACAAATGTGATGATACCCTTGTGGCATCTATATATAAAATATGTGTAAAATATTATTGCCATGAACTGCTCCAAGATTCTGGGTTGAGGATTCACGTGCAGCCTTTGGGGCAATTCATAATTGTAAATTCATAAAAACTGGCAATTTGTCAAAACATCCAAACAATATCAACAGGGCAGAGAAGAATAATCAAAGAATGAGGTGTTGATATACAAGACTTTGCAAAGAACGTCTGAAAACACAAGGCTTATAAAGAGTTAACAAGGTAAATGCTTAATGTATTGTAATGGCATATAATGAGTCCAGGCAAAGGGTTACGCGGAAATGCAGTTTATGATGAGATAAAGCAGATGGAGATCATGGGCACAACAGCTGTGGATGTAAAATTTATAGGAAAAAGAAGTTGCAAATAAATGATAGAAAATCATTTTAAAAAGCCTATATATATATATATATATATATATATATATATTAGGGCTGTCAAACGATTAATCGTATTTAATCGCATCCAAAATAAAAGTTTGTGTATACATAATATATGTGGGTCCACTCTGTTATATTTATTTTGTATATATATATATATATAAATACACTCACATGCATGTATATTTAAGAAAAAAAATTTATTTACATATAAAATATTTATATTTATATATAATATAAATTATATATAAATCAATATACAGTGTAAAAATGAAAATATTTCTTATATATATACAAGCATGTGTGTGTATTTATATACATAAAATAATTAAACACAGTGCACCCACATATATTATGTAAACACAAACTTTTATTTTGGATGTGATCAACAGCCCTATTATATATATATATATATATATATATATATATGTAAATTACTATTTTTTTATTAGTCTTTTTAAAATTTCTAATCAGTTGTTCTCTAAACCCTCTTGCAGCACTAAATATACATAGTTACTTGATGTTGATAAATCATACTACTGCCATCTATTCACCTACTGTTTCTGTTGTTTCTCTTAGCTGTGTAATAAAAACCCTCCACCAAAGTTCATCCTCTGCCTTTGTATTATTATTATTACATTTCAACCGTGACACCTCCGATATGATTCAAAATAATAGCAAGACTTACCTCCTGGGTTTTATTTTTTTTATTTTTTTTCACAAGCGTAAAGGTAAACAGCATATTTAATTTTTCACATTTGAAAATGAGGCTGTAAGTAGTAGACATACACTATGTCTAATGGGTTAAACTGCAAATTTCATAGCAACAAACCTATATATGACAACCTTGAAACATTTACATTTAATCATTTAGCAATGTCTTTATCTGAAGCAACTTACAAATGCGGACAATAGCCATCAAACCAACAATAGGGCAGGTCAAGTTGGGCAGGTCATTCCACCAACAAGCAACAGTCAAAATAAAGGTCGGTAAAAGTGATTCTGTACCTCTTTGGGATAGCACCACAAGGCGCCATCCACTTGCAGAATGCAAGCAGACTGTATGCCACATGGAAACATACATGTTGGTATTGCAATCTCATTCTACTGCATTTGTTATCTCAAGGAACAGAAAGGAGGAAAAAAAAAATGGAGTTTCGCTCCATTCATCCCGCAACCACACTAGACAAGGGAAATTAAGTTCATCCTCTCTGCACAGTTACATCAGATTTTAAGGCACACAGGGGTATTAAAATGGATTACTTAGACAGTGTGGTAGGCACATCCTGGCCATTAGCCACTCTTTGCGCTGAGGAAACAGGTCACGTTGGAAGCACAAAAAAAAGGAAACAGATTCCCAATACAGAATGTGTTACAGTCTCTTCTGCTCTGTTGCCAAGCAACCCCAGCTGCTCCTGTGCTGCTGCCTGTCCCCCCCCCCCCACCCCCCAATAACACTCTGCACTGGGGCAGTCCGCTACAAATGCATCAGTTTAAGATGGCATGTCTAGTCTCAAGGGAGGGGACCAGGCCTGCACTTACAGGATGATCCTGATAGGACAGAGCATTGCAACCACACCCTCTGTCTGCATGAATCACCTGTAATTTCCTCACATGACACAAACACACTCTGCATTGGCTACCATGCAGGTTCTTTTCTCTGATTGGTAGATGAGGATGTGAGGCTGTGTAAATATAAATATAGCAGGATGGCGCCACCTTGTGCATAAGAACCATCATTGTGACTACAGCTACTGCATTTGATAAATCTTAAAATTCATATGTAAATGTAACAGGATTACTCACCTTATTTTCGACACAGGGATGAATGGCATCTCGTGCTGCTACTGATGATTGACAGCTGTCGCTGGATCCACAGCAGTTCAGTCTGAGACTGTCTGAGAAGCTGCTCTACATCAGTCCTTTGACCTCACATCTCCTACCACACAGTGAATTGGTTGAAAAAAAAAAAAAAAAAACAACCTTGCACAAGCACAAATATACAGTATGATGCTTCTAAAAAAGGTACCTGGACGCTTTGGACGCACTTCCCAAACTGTAAAGTATCAAATTCATTGAATAAGATATTCAACATCAAAACAAAATATTAATATACTGTCAATGTAAATAACTATTTGGTTAACGTTACCGTTTAAGTCCATTGTGTGGAGAAACATCCTGAAATGTTTTCATTAAATTAAATTTGTTTTCCATTGAAAAAAGAAAGACATGAACATCTTGGATGGCATTGGGGTGAGTAAATCAGGAAATTTTCTTTTTTCGGGGAACTTATCCTTTAACATGGCAATCACACATGCCAGACGAGTTTGGTGTGAACGCAGCATTAAATATTTTTGTTTGTTTTTTTTTGAAAATCGATTTTTGACATTTGTAAATCAATTCAGAATCATCCTTGACCACATCATTCAACAATCATTCAACTCGATTGTGATGTCACAGCAGATCACATTTAACTGTATGATATATTAATTATTTTGAGAATTAATCATCATGTAACAGTGTTTAATATTAATATATTAATTATGTTGAGATTTAATCGCACAATACTTGTTGCTCATCACAGTCAAAGTTTATTCCATTGAATTTTTTTTTTTCATTTTAATTTTCTCCAACAGCATAGGCTATAGGTTATATTTTCTCCTACTTATATGCATATAAAATGGTGCATAAAACAAATTCATTAATAAAAAATATAAAAATATAAATATAGTATATATATCTGTAAATATATCTGTAATAGAAGCACACATTGAAGTTGTGGTTTAAAAATAAACATTTTAACATTAGAGAGGTTTGTGGTTTAAAAGTTGTGGTTTAAAAATAAACATTCTAACATAAGAAAGGTTTGTGGTTTAAAAGTTGTGGTTTAAAAATAAACTTTCTAACATTAGAGGTTTGTGGTTTAAAAATAAACATTCTAACATTAGAGAGGTTTGTGGTTTAAAAATAAACATTCTAACATTAGAGAGGTTTGTGGTTTAAAAATAAACATTCTAATATTAGAGAGGTTTGTGGTTTAAAAATAAACATTCTTATTCATTTAACTAAATCTGTAAGTCAGCTACGCTGTTTACTTCTTAATATTATATTTAAAGCAGATTTGCTCCCTGAATCGTCGTGACGCAGTCTCTTTCAAGGCCATCATTTGTAGTAAATGCAATTGCAAAATCACCAAACCAACAATTGCTAAAAACACACACAAAAATTTTGCACGGGCATTTTGTACTATTTAATAATAAATTCAAAACATCAGAGATCTGAACTTATCGTTTTGAGAAAAAAAAGAGCCAAAGCAATAAAAAAAAAAAAAACTGTAAACACCTGCAAGTCCATTCTGTAGTATTCTACACAATATGCATTCAATTGTGGTTAACCATCTAATACAGGACATTATTACATTTACATTTATTCATTTATCTGACACTTTTATCCAAAGCGACTTACAATTGCTATATATGTCAGAGGTCACATGCCTCTGGAGCAACTAGGGGTTAAGTGTCTTGCGCTCAGTGACACATTGGTTTCTCAGTGGATTCGAACCCGGGTATCTCACACCAAAGGGATGTGTCTTATCCACTGCGCCATCACCACCCCATTATCAGATAGGTTTTAAGATTGATGACCCATCTTTTGGATTTTGAAATGACATAGCTCCAGTTCTTATTTTTATGTTTATATTTTACATGAATATCAATAATCAAAACAATATCAATGCTGTTTTGGACCCCAGTGTTCCATTGTGTGAACAAAAAACATTTGTTCTATAGAGGAAAGTAATTCATAAAATGACATTAGGGCGAAGAAATTATTTTTGGGTGAACTATCAGTTACACAAAAGCAATAGTCACCAACTGATCCACATAATAATAATAATAAAAAAATATTATGTGAAAGAGGATGGTGTAGACCTGAAATAATCCGAATCAACAGCAGCTACTGAACATTTTTAAAATTGGATTTAAAAAATCCTTGCAGCATGCAGTGCCATGATGTGTATGTTTACATTTATGTCTTATAAACTAATTGGTGAAGGAGACTGAATTTTTACTGAATTTGCTAAAAAGCTCTTCTGTTCGGACAAAGCAAAAACGGCAATTGTGCTCAGGCTAGCTCCAGTGATATAGTGGTGGCTTTCTCCGGTTCTAAGCGTATTAACTGGCCACTGCACATATAAACACAACTTTCACTTTCAGTTATGAATTTTTTAAGTAAAAGCAAAGCACCTTCAAGTAGCATATGTTCAAAGTTCAAGATTCCTTCAAGAGCCCTTGTCGGTTCTCGGTTTTGCTTTGTGCTTGAATGAAGGCAAGGGAGGCAATCTTATACGCCAAGATGTCTTGTAATCAACAGCTTGTGCCATGTTCACTTTCCCTTGATCTACATAGTTTCCAGCTTTCATCACAGTCTTTGCTATGTTGTTTGCCATTTCACCCTACGAAAAAGTAAAAGAAAAAAAAATTTTAAATTATGATACACCAAAGTTATAATCTCATAGCGATTTATTACATTATAATTGATAACTGATATTTCAGTGGTGCAAATTAGTTATTCATGTTCGATAAAGCACTGAAACTTTCATTTTAAACTGTGTAAGCGTATTTATTTGCACCATTTTTTTTTCCAGATAATTTATTGAACTCCAGCAAGCTGACTGTACCTGACTGTTGACTAAGACAGCTATATCCATAAACATGTTTTGCAGCTCTCGAATGCTGGCCTCCAGACAGAGAATGTCCTTATGCCGTGACTCAATCTCATTCAGAGCTCGCCCCGTGATGCAGGAGCCATTGTTGATCTATACATACAAGGAGTTACATTAACAATTAAGGAAGCTTAAGTGTAAAAGTACATTCAGCTGTATGTTAACACTGAAACTTACGTTTGAGGTAAAGAAAGCGGGGTTGTTACTTTGCAGTAAATCCTCTGTCTCCTCTTCAGTGATGAATCTACCACCTTGAAAAATAACAAGTCTGATTTCTACAGTACACTCCCATTTAAAAGTTAGGTCAGATTTTTGTTTTTGAAAGAAGTTTTGATCAAAAATACAGTAAAAACAGTACTATTGTGAAATAATTTTTATTATAGTTCATTTTATTTTCTATTGCAATATATTTTAAATTGGAATTTATTCCTGTGATTGGCAATTTTCAGAATCATTACTCCAGTGTTCAGTGCCACATGATCCTTCTGAAATTATTTTAATATCCTGATTTACTCAAGGAAAACTTATATAATTATCAATTTAAAAACATATAATATTTAAACATATAATATTTTTGTGGAAACCATGATACTTTTATAATGGATTCTATGTTAAATACAAAGATCAATAGAAAACATGTATTTTAAAAACAGAAATCTCTTGAAGCATTATATAGTGTATGTCTTCACTGTGCCTTTAGACCAATTTAATGCACCCTTGCCGAAAAAAGTATGAAATTATTTTTAATTACTGAACCGTGAACCCAAACCGTGAACCTAATTTGTACAGATATATGACTAATCTAAATTACATTAAGAACACTACATATTCAGTAGGATCTTTTTTTTTTTACAAGAAATGTACAAAAAAAAAAAATAAGTTGGGTTACCAATTCAATTTTAAGGTTACATACTACTGTAGAAATAGAGTGGGAATATACAAGTAGCAATGTGCTGTGGTGACAAAAGAGATTTATGTGTTCGTAAATGTATTAGTTCACTTACTGATCTCCAGCTGTCTTTGTAGCTGCTCTTTACTCTTTGTTCGGAAAGATAACAGTTCTTGGTTGTACATATTCATTATTTCTGCAAACCGCAGTGAAAGTACTGTGTGCTATAAATGAACAACATAAATTAGAAAAAAAATAATAAAACAAACACCTAAAGGGTAATAGTGAATTTATAATTCAGTAGAGGTCTACATCTCACCTGAGTACTTTGGATGCGACAATAGACAGAGATGGTGTTTGCATTTTCATTCTCTGAAAATGCTCCCTCTAAATCTACATGAACAATCAAATAATAAAGTTTTTTTTTTATGTAAAACAAAAGATTTAGATTATAAAAGATTATATTCCTTGTTTCACCAGATGTTCCTGATGGCCAGTACTAATTAAATTAAATTACCTTTTAGTTTATCCCGTATTAAATCTGCAGTCTGCTTGATGTCATGGCTAAATTGCTCAAGTTCATCTCTCACATCTGTTAATGAGATTAGACACACAAATATGGTAGAGATGAACACAGAGCAAAACTGAATTGACAAAACACTGTTGTTTAATACTGTAGTAAATATTAACTGTCAAGATTCTCACGGCCATAAAACAATTAATTTTCAGACTAATGGATGATTTTTCATTTTTTATTTGTTAAATCATCTATAGAGATTCTATTTATTATATTTTTTTATCTGAGTGTAACTTTTAATGGCCTGGAAATCATCATCATTTTAAATGTCCTATATAATATAATAATTTCCTAAACCCTAATTTTCTATGTGGGGACCCCTCTCAGACACCTAGGTGCATGCACTTACAGCTGTAAAGACACAAAAACAATGTGCAAAGTACTCACATGTCGGTGGGTTGATTTCTGTCAGAATGGTACTTTGCCTCAGCTTTACTTCTCCAACACAGAGGGAAATTCTCTCAATAAGTTTTTGAACGTCACCAACCTACATCCGTTATTTAAAAAAAAAAAAAAAAAAAAAAAAACGAGACTATAAATGGTTCTTCACTTGTTCAGTTATAATGTAAAGAGAGACATAGCTCTACACCTATACACAGCAGTTGTAGATGTTTAAACACAAGTGCACGCATACAAACCAAACCCCATGATACAAACCTTTGGAAGGAAGTCCTCTAGGAAAGCATTGGACTCCACAGGAGTGATGATGACGTCATCGCAGCGCTATAGTCAAAACACATAAAAAACACAGAGCTGGGACTTTTCTGTCGTATAAACCCCTCGCTATAAATATTTTCAACGTATCCAAACTTTGTTTTAACAGAAAACCTGATATAAGGCAATACTTGCTAAATGCAATTTGCAATCAATCTTTACGATACTGAAAGTAAGTGACAGGTAAATTGTTATCATTAATATTTGACATCCAAATAACACGAATTAAGGAAATAATTTAATTCTTACGGCTGTTAAATCGCCCAGACGGTCCTTCATATCAGCTTCAAAGTCGTTTCCGTTACACAGTAGAATGACACGTTGGTTTGATGTTGAACAAATCGTTCTTTTAAGTTGAATATTTTCAAAGAATCAGTTGAAATAATTCACAAAATCGGTCTGAACGGTTTAGATGAAGTGTACACGAACCATACAAAAGAATAAAAACGCGGAATAACGAATCGGACTTTCCAACCTTTTAGTCTGTTTCCAACACAAGGACAGGTAAAGCCCCGCCTGTTTACTTCCGTACATTTAGACGCGATGAATATTCATTCTATTTGTTTATTATGCGTGTTTCCGGATTAGGGTAAGTTAATCACACGATTCTAGTCTTCAAGGAAAAAATAAAATAAATAAATTAAAAAAAACGAAAAGGGAGTGAGTAGAGGTTACTTTTCATAACACAAAAGCATAGCAGTAGTTCTTGTGGCAGTCATGATCCTGCATTACCGAAGGCTGCATTTGAGGACAGACCATTTTTTAGTCTATGGGACAGACCCTCCATTTTTGAAGGCCTGTGCTAGCTAGCTATAATACTGCATCATAAGTTAGCAGTATTTGTATTATTATAAATTATAATCATTATAAATACTGTTGAATTATGTCAATGAAATTTATATTATTCCAACCTAACCCTATCTAATTAATATATTACGTAAAAAATAGATGAAAATATAATGCACTTTTAAAACGTCCTTTTAGTCTAGAGTAGACTCTAGTCATTTTGCCCCCGTTTGTTTCAGTTGAATCATGTCTGGCGGCGTACAATTAGCTAGGTGGCGCTGTCACAAAAAAAAAAAAAAAAAAAAAAAAAAAAAAACTAAGGTCCTGGAAATGCGGTCTTGAATTTAGTAACCTATGGTAGGGACCATAGACTGTAAGGTAGGGACCATATCCATTGACAGTGATTATGTCCCTACTCCCTAGCAATAATTTCGATCAAAACTTAAAATATATTTATATTGATCTCCGTCCCCACCAATTTCAAAATCAAATCTACGCCATATCTGGATCTTTGTAATGTCAAATCAAATGTAACAATTTATAATTGTATTTTCCAATTTATAATTGGGATGATAGCTATTATTTTACAATAGCTATCCCCCCGGCCCCAACGCTTTTTAAAGTGGAAATTATCCCCTTTCTCTAATTATTAAGATGGCATTAATACATTTCTGTTACAAGTTAAAATAACTTCATTATAAAATTCTTCATAATTACTATCCCGTGACTCTTTTCAATAATGTTCAATAAAAATCAATTTTAAAAAAAGATTCAACTGCGGGCGTCATCTTCTGATTAGAGTGCGTGCACTTAAAAAGGCAAATTATTTGCAATCTAGCCAAAATAGCATAACGGCAAAAACGTAACGCTGCGGCTTTTGAGGCATGCAAGGAAGGAGACAAGAGGCAGTTTTTAATGGATATCAAAGGAGATGGCTTCACTATGGTTTGGGTTTGCCTTCCAATGGCTTTGGAGGAACTACATGCATAATTAAGCTAGACGCCTCTGCCCGCTGCTATGACGACGTCTATACACACGGACACACGCGCTACCGTTAGCAGTTTCAGAGAAGGGAACACTTGTTTTGTCATTTTAAACGCAAAGCCATATTTACTTTTTAAAAAGTTCGTCAGGTTTCAGAGTATTTTCGACTGCAAAACAGATCTTATTGTTAAACAAAAAAAAAAAATGTCCGTTCCTCACAAAGTTGGGACAGTGAAATCTAAACAGGTACGTTACCCTATGCATGTTACCGATGTTATAGCGAATACAAATTAATAACTAACTGTTATCTACTATTTAAACTTTACAGCTTTGTCGTTTATAATTATTATGAGACTAGGCTACATTTTCTGGCTTAATCCATCACTTTCTGTCTAACTTATAACTTTGAAACTTTCTTTTTAAACCTTTGGGCTAACGTTAGGCTTTCTAAGTCAACATCTAGTTTATGCACTGTTGTCAAGACCATACGGTTGAAATTTTCTCTCTTAAAATGCAGACAACAAATGTTAACACCCAGCTAAAGGCATCTGTGGCAAAGGTTGTCAAAGCTGCTGGAAAGAAGAAGGTAACGTAGCTTTCCAATCACATTTTTTATCCAGGTAGGACTGAATTCATTGTCACATATCTTTCAAAAGAATATTGGGCTTTCAAACCTCTTTTATAATGTAGGATGAGGAGGAAGCAACAGACACAGCTGAAGGAGAAGAATGGATGACGGGGAAGACTCTTGTGAAGCCTCCGGACCAGCTGGACTTAACCGAGGAAGTGTGTAAACCTGGAGAGGACCTGTGGTCTGACCCTGCTAAAATAATGTCACATTATAGTGATGTTGGGATAATTATTTATACATGTTTCTGTTTCTTGTGTTCATAAGGAGCTCAAAGAAGAGATTACCAGAGTACTAACAGCAAACAATCCAAATGCCCCACAGAACGTTGTCAGATACAGTTTCAAAGTAAAATACTGCTGCATATCTACAATTTTTTAAAATTGTGATCCTTAACCATGATGATTTAGTCATCAGCCTTACAAATCACTAAAATCTGTTCTCTTTTTTAGGAGGGTTGCTATAAACCTATCATCTTTGTAGATCAGATGGCTGTTCACTTTGAACTAGAAGGGAATCTTGTGCACAAGGAGTCTGATGAAGGTCGGAGATTGATGGCTAAACAAGATGCAAAAGTAGATGGCACAGGAGCCGAGAAGCTAGAAAATGTGGCCAAAGCTGGACAGAAAGAGCGGAAACTCACCAACCAGTTCAACTTCAACGAGAGAGCCTCTCAGACACTAAACAACCCCCCAAGAGTGAGAGGGTTTCTTTACTGAACTCTTATATGCCATCTGTTTGTTACCACATAGTCATTTATTAGATGGTTTTTATCAAAAGTGATTTGTTGTACAAGTTTTACAAGGGCAAAACAGTGATTGCTCATAGCTTGTGAGACCCTTTATTAGGGTTTCGGCAAAAAATCTAAATTATGTTTTGCAGGATATAAGTTGTCAAACAGAGCCTCCTCCTCGTGCAAACTTCTCGGCTACAGCCAATCAGGTGAGTAAATCTTTGCCTTTGCAAACTTTTTTTGTGCCACACCTGCAGTAAACCAGCACTATGGTTATATCATGGTGAATACGGATTCGTAAAACATCAGAAAACACTTTCTGCAGTGGGAGATCTATGACTTTTACGTTGAGGAACTTAAGAGGCGAGAGAAAAGTAAAGAGAAGCAAGAAGGCCAGGTCCTACATAAGGAGGAGGACAAAAGCAGGAAGAAAATTATTCAAGCAGAGACTCAGGTAGCTAAACAACAAATGATCTGACACAGATTGTAACTAAGTACATACACAATAATCAATAAAATGACATATTTAGTGATTGATTTGTTTGAAGGATTGAATTAAAGGGCAAAAAACATGTGCTTATAGAGTGATGACATATCCCAACTAGCTCATGCGGCCAAGATCATTGAGCGTATGGTGAATCAGAATATATTTGATGAGGTTGCACAAGGTAATTATGAAAAATATTTATTTTTACTTCTATTGTAGATATCTGACAGATTGACAGATATTAAATAGTGTTCAAAAAGAGAGCAATTTTCTGATGTAAACAGCTTTATATCCAAATCTCAGATTTCATGTACTTTGAGGATGCGGCTGATGAATTTCGAGGAGAGAAGGGCACTCTTCTTCCGCTGTGGAAACTCCAGTATGATAAAGCTAAAGGTCTGTCTGTGACTGCCCTCTGCTGGTGAGTATCATACTTTATAAAATACAATACGCACCCATTTAGTGTTTTTTTTTAAGTCAAATAAAAAACACTTTGTTTATTTCTAGGAATCCTAAATACAATGATTTGTTCGCTGTTGGTCTTGGGTCATGTAAGTTTGCTATTTACTCTGTAAGTAAACCTTACACTGTAAAAAAATATTGATGTTTAACTTAAAAAGTAAGTAACCTGGTTGTCTTAAAATTTTAAGTTCATTTAACTAAAGTGAGTTAATACAATGAAGGAGAATGATTTAATCATCAGAAACTCAAAATTATATGTTATCTGAACTAAATAAATTATTTAAGTTGATTTGACAAAAGAAAAAATGTTGTGATAACTACACTGTAAAAAATATTGTTGGTTTAACTTAAAAAAGTAAGTAACCTGGATTGCCTTAAAATTTTAAGTTGATTGAACTGGAAAAAGTGAGTTAATGCAATGAAGGAGATTAATTTAATCATCAGAAACTCAAAATAATAAGTTATCTCAACTGAATAAATTATTATAAAGTTGATTTTACAAAAGAAAATATGTTGTGATAAAAAAATCTTGAAAATATTTTTTACAGTGTTGACAATATAATCATTTGTAGCCTACAGCATTTGAATTGTGTTTTATCTTACCCCTCAAGATGAATTTATCCAAGAGGAGCGTGGCATGCTTCTCTTTTACACCCTGAAGAATTCTAGTTACCCAGAATTCATCTTCAACACAGCCTCAGGCGTAATGTGCGTAGACATCCATGAACAACTGTCCTACCTAGTGGCTGTGGGTTTGCATGACGGTTGTGTTGCAGTGTACAACCTGAAGAAAAAGAGTGATCAGCCCACTTATAACAGCATAGCCAGCTCCGGGAAACATAGAGGCGCTGTGATGCAGGTATGAAAGAGGATATATGTCATGGGTTAAATAATAACAGTAGAATTACTTATTACTTACGGTGTGATGTGACAATGGAGCTGTATATTCAAAATAATGGTCAGAATAGAATACTTGTTCTTGTTATATCCAGTGCAAATTTTCTGTATGCATTGAAATCCTGGATGACCTATATTTACCAAAATGTGCCGTACACAACCAGAAAAATCTCATTTAGATTTAAAGATTAGATTAGAAAAAGTCCATTTTATATACAATTCAGCATACTACATTTTGAATATCAGATGTTGGTTTGATTTTAGAATTTTCTTTGATTTTAGAATTTTCTTTCATGTTACGCTCTTGTTGTGGGAAATATTTTTTGTGTTTCATTGTCCTCATTATAGGTGAAGTGGCAGAAAGACGATTTGGACAATAATCACAACTTCATCTCTGTGTCCGCTGATGGACGATTGGTGTCTTGGACTCTCATAAAGGTACAAAAGGAAATATCTAATTGCTGATTCTAAAACAAGTCATTATTTCAAGAGGTTAATTGATGCCAATCATTTGGATTTCAGCATGAACTAGTCTTCACAGACATCATCAAACTCCCAGCCACGGACAAAGTTCCTGATGACCTTAAGGATGTTATTGCTACAGGTATGAACCACATACATTAATTTTTCTTTACACAACCAATGTTAACACAAAGATGTTGATGTGAGTGGGGTTTTTCTCTCAGTATTCACCTTTTTCCTCACTTCTTCG